TTGACCAAATGCCTTATTTCGAAGAGGAGAAGATTTCTTTTATAACTTTTTTGTTTGTTTTTATGTCAATAAAAGATATAGGGGACTGATATTATTCTGGATAATCAGTTGCTTTAAACTAAATCGTAATCTATATTCACAGAAAGTCGTGAATAAATTCAAACACAATATTTTGGAGGAAAAAATTCAAGTTTTCTTTTTGAACTTAAAGATTGGAGCGAAGGCAGTAAAATTGGTCAGAGGAGCTTTATCATTGGTGTTTGGGAAATAATTATTATTGTAGTATATTTTTGATGGCGAGAAATAAAAGAGAGTGTGGGCTTGAGAATGCTGCTCACAAAGCGTGAGGGCATATCCTAGATGTGGGGCCTACTTTCCGACCGTGATGATTTTTCTTTCTCTCCCGACGCCGTTAATTTAGCTTCAAAGTGTCATTGTTTTTTTTTCTTACAGTATCTACTAATGTAGTTAAAATTTAAGAAGATCGTGTTTTGTTCCAAGACAATTTTAAAAATCGAATCCCCACGAGTTGTGTCCTTTTATAATGTTTTAGAAAACGGAAATATCAAGGGTTCTATAAATTAATTTCAGGAAGAACTTTGTATGCTACAGACTGAAATCGATAAACATATAATATAATTATTTAGATGCTCATATCCATATAATTCATTTATATTTACTTGTTTACCAGACGTATCCCAAATATTTTTAGAAACTAATAAATGTTAAACAAGTAAGCAGAAAAATCAACAAAATCAATTATATATTAATTTTAAAGCGATGGTAAATCACATATTAAGAGAAACTATATCGGTTTCAGCTGCAAAAAAATCAACCCACAAAAGAGAAAAAATTGTGTATACTGTAATGTAACATAATCAATACTATAATATAATATGCACAAATGAGACAAAAAGAAGAAGAAGAAGAAACAAACACAATGAAATACAAATGAATAAAAATGTAGAATATACATTGTCTACATCCTTTCTAAGAGAATACAAATTCAAAATTTTAACTTCAAAAGTATCTAATACGTTTGAACTATATCCAGTATATTATGGTGGTTAAAATGCCAAGTTGTGATCACTTTCTTTAAGAATGTTTTCGTAACACATTTAACCACTTTGCGTGCGTAATTGACACCTCATTTGGTTAGCTAAACTTGTATGTGTCTGTATGTGAGATTTTAACAACCTTGTTCGAGTTTAAAAAGCAAAAGATTAGTTTATGTTGGCATTAATCTCACATTTACACGGATAATGCTTCTCTTAATTTCATCTTTAACTTTTTTAAAAAAGATTATCCCTTTGACGATTTATTAAATGTCAAATCGTTCAAAAAAAAGGAAACTCAGATTATTTTTTTCCATTTTTCCTTTACCCTTCTCTTCTCGCGTAGCACACCCACATCAAAAAAAAAAAAAAAAAGTTTCCTCGATTTGTTGATCTGCCGCTGGTCTCGATCTCTCTCCAAAGATCTCGACTGAGAGAGAGAGAGAGAGATGCATTGAAAAAAGGTTGAGGCTTTTCGTCTTTAGTTTTCTGTTTTCCTGTTTGGTTTTACATTAAAATAAAACAAGAAAAATCTCGAGATGTGTTGAGCTCAAGTTGGGATTCTCCGGTTGATTGGTTTTGTCGGTAGAGTTTCTGTCTATTTGAGTTTCGATTTCTCCGAGCAGTTAGCTTCGGAGATGAGTGGGTGTTTGCCTTGCTTTGGATCTTCGGCTAAAGACGCTGCTGCGAAAGATCCGGTGAAGAAGGAAGCTTCAGCTAAAGACGGCTCAGTTACTCAGTCTCACCATGTCAGCTTAGGTGAAACTTTTTACTTGAAAACTTTCTTTGTTTGAAACTTTGGGATCTGTTGAGTTTTCGGGTCTTAGATCGATTTAAGTTTCTGGGTTCTCATAAAGTTCCTAAATTCGGTAATGATTTTGGAAAGAGAATGCTGATGTTTCTGATCTAATTCATCTGCGACAGCTTCACGGCTCTGTGATTCATGAGATCTGATGTGTTTTGGGAGCTTTGATTATAGTTAGGATTACAATTTAGCTCCAAACTGTGGTTTGTGTGATGGTTAATTACAGATTCTGTTTTAGTTCTCTATACATGGAATGCAATTAGGAGATGCCAAAGTAGGTTTCTCAACGCTATCCACAAACAAGGACTCATAAAAATGTTATCATTAAAGGTTTCATTAATGAAGAGTTTCTGGATAAGGATCCTCTGTTCATCTAGACATCACTAATTTAACAATAGTATAAATGAAGGCCGGTGATTTTTTTTCTGTTTTGTGTTGATTGAAACTGAACCGGGAAGCTACAACTAATCTGAAAAGTTTTAGTTGATAATGACTTTTTCGTATTTGCTGATTCTTGCGATTGATTTGTGACTGAAAGTAGTAATGTTTCCTTGTTTTTTGTTTTTGTAGACAAATCAAAGTCTCGAGGAGGTCCTGAACATAAGAAGGAGCTAACCGCTCCAAAAGAAGGGCCAACTGCTCATATCGCCGCACAAACGTTTACATTCCGAGAGTTAGCTGCCGCCACTAAAAACTTCCGACCGGAATGTCTTCTCGGAGAAGGAGGTTTCGGACGTGTTTACAAGGGTCGTCTAGAGAGCACAGGACAGGTGAAGTTCTTGAAAATCAATCAACAGCATCGGCTTTTAATATTTTATCGTAATCAAACCCCGTCGTCTAATTTTTATGTTCTGCAGATAGTAGCTGTTAAACAGCTGGATCGAAACGGTCTACAAGGAAACAGAGAGTTTCTTGTAGAGGTTCTTATGCTGAGCCTTCTGCATCATCCAAATCTTGTGAATCTTATTGGTTATTGCGCTGATGGTGACCAGCGTCTTCTTGTTTACGAGTATATGCCACTAGGATCGTTGGAGGATCATCTACACGGTAAGCTTATCAATATTTCCCTGCTCTTAACATGGAAATTACATTTGGAATGAGTAGGAAACCATTCAAAGCTACCATATATAGAAACTCGTTGTCTAGTGTTATTGCATTGGATATACTGGAAAAGTCTTTAGCTTTGAATAATCTGTATAAACAACTCGAAACATTAGCTTGCAAATAGTTCTATGCAGTGAATTAGTTTTTTGTCTTGTTTTTGTTATTCAGATCTTCCACCGGATAAAGAGCCTCTAGACTGGAACACGAGGATGACAATAGCGGCAGGAGCAGCGAAGGGACTGGAGTATCTGCATGACAAGGCAAACCCGCCTGTGATCTACAGAGACTTGAAATCATCCAACATTCTTCTCGGCGATGGCTATCACCCAAAGTTATCTGATTTCGGGTTAGCTAAGTTAGGTCCTGTGGGGGATAAAACACACGTCTCGACCCGTGTTATGGGCACGTATGGCTATTGTGCACCGGAATACGCCATGACGGGGCAACTCACGTTGAAATCCGATGTTTATAGCTTTGGAGTCGTGTTTCTTGAGCTTATCACGGGTCGAAAAGCCATTGATAACGCTCGAGCACCCGGAGAGCACAACCTCGTCGCATGGGTATGTTAAAAATCTCAACTTTTTTGCATATAGATGTGATAATTAACGTTGCTTACTTGAAACTTTGGTGCTCTGTTTTGCTTGTTGGTTCTTGCTTTGATTACACAGGCCAGGCCTCTGTTCAAAGATCGTAGGAAGTTTCCGAAGATGGCGGATCCATCGCTGCAAGGGCGGTATCCAATGCGTGGTCTGTATCAAGCGCTTGCGGTTGCTGCAATGTGTTTACAGGAACAAGCAGCGACAAGACCGCTGATCGGCGACGTGGTGACAGCGCTGACTTACTTAGCTTCTCAAACGTTTGACCCTACCGCGTCAAGCGGTCAAAACAGTAGAAGCGGTGGAGGGCCGCCGTTTATCAGGACGAGGGATGAACGGAGGAGCATGGGAGATGGGAGTAGCTTGGATAGTCCTGCAGAGACTCGCAGCCGGTTAGGGTCACCGGCGACTCACAAGAACTCACCTGATTACAGAAGAAGGGATATGGTGAGGGAAGTAAACGCGGGATCAGAGGCAGGGAGCGAGACAGGAGGCGGTTCAGGGAGAAAATGGGGATTAGGTGACGTGGAAGGAACGGAATCACAGAGAGGGAGTCCGGCGAGCGTTGGGAGGGCATCGAGAGGGACTCCGAGGAACAGAGATTTAGATAGAGAGAGAGCTGTGGCGGAGGCAAAGGTGTGGGGAGAGAATTGGAGGGAGAGGAAGCGAGCTTCCAATGGACCGGGCAGCTTTGATAGTTCAAACGACTGAAAGGGGGGAAAAGCTTTGTATGTTTTAGAAAAGGACAGAAAGTATTGTCTTTGTGGCAAGAGGCAAAGGGAGAGAGGCTTTGGGGGTGGTCATATGAAACCATTTGTCGGGTCGGTCTGTTGTCGGATTTGATGTCTGAGTCAGAAGAGAGACTCTTCAATATCGTGGTTGAAGCTCAAGAACATATGAAGGGAGAGAATTTGAGAAGGATGATGATGAGTAGAGAGAAATTGGGCGATTAGGAAGGGAGAAAAAGGTTTTTTTTTTCAAGGTCAAGTTTTTTTTTTGGGGGTGAAACGGGTTGTTTGTATATTTTATATGGGAGGGAGAATTTGTGTCGATTTATATCTTTCTTTTCTGTACTATTTTTAATGTATCCTGTCTGTGTATGGATTCGAGTCTTGTCGGAAAGAAAAAATGAAAAAAAGTCAGTCTTTTACCATCTTAGTCGGCTTCTTACCATTGCCACTCCTGGTGGGATCTTGAGAAGAGACCTATGCTCTACTTTTAAAATCCGACCACAAAAACATATTTGAGAAGTACTTTTTTAACCACTGAAATTAGGAATGTGTTACATTTGAGTGATTCTAGAAAATGACGTAGGAACAAAGAGTAGTAAAAAATGATGAGGGTTGTGAATACAAAATGTTAAATCAGCTCGTCACACTAACCACTAACCAGTCCCTCTGATTAGTAATCACACTACTTAACAATAAGCATAAGGTCCTCTTACTTCCTACGCTTTCCCTGCAGAGACATAAAAAATTACATTTAGCATCAGAACTACTACACGGGACTTTGCCACCATTATTTAAACTTGAAACGCTTTTCAAAAAATGATTAAACCATATTCTTGTGTTTTCTAAAAAAATTGTCTTGATCTGCATCACTTAACCAGCAATATTAACAAGTTTGTAATTTGGAAGCGAATTGCGTACCGAGCTCACGAAATCATCCATTGACAGCTGCTTTCGTTTCTTCAAGGATGAATGGCTCTCATTTGCTTGCCTACCCAAAGCTCGCTTTGAAGGCGTTGCAGTCTGAAACAATTTGCAAAGCAGATCGTCATAAACAATGCCATCGCGTTTCTCACAATTAACCCAACATTAAAGCATGAGTTTAAAAAAAATGTGATTCCTTCAAGTCCTTACCTTTGCAAGCTTCTTCTCTCTACGGGCTTGCCTCTCTCTCTCATCATACTCCTGGTTCTCCTTCTCAATCAGCCGGATCAGTGTGTCACATCTTCTGGCAAGTTCCTGACTTGAACGGGACTTTACAAACCAGTCAAAGCTAAACGTGGCGGATGTCCGAAAAGCATGCTTTAGTTCATCCCAGTTTCCATAACCAAGCTTATGGACCATGCATATCTGTTAATCACAAGTTCCTCGGGTCAATATCATATAAAAATGAAACAAAACAGTGAAATCTAAACCCACAGAGTTTCAGATAAAGAAAGGATAAATGGATGTCAGACCATGAAACGGTCACAGTCTTCATTGTACAGCTTCCCTTTGTTCTGACCATACTGAATCTTCAGTTCCAGACACGGGTTCCTGTAACGATCTAGTTTCTTCCCAATAGCTTTCATGATTTCATCTTTCCTAGAGATTCTTGCTTCCCCTTTCTCAATATTCTTGATGATTCTATCGTACTCTATAGATTTTAGAATGTCAAAGTTAAACCTCAGCATAAGATTCTTTTGAGAGGCAAAATATCCAACCGTTATTTACTGCAGACACTCAAGTTACTTACCAGTCAGCTCCATGAATCGCTCTTTGAAAACTTCAGCATATCGTTCAACCTCTTCCTCAGTTTTCCCTTCCATCTCAGCGGCAATACTTTTTATATCGTTCCGGCCATACTTCTCACAAGATCTAATGAAGGTGTTGAAGTCTCTTCTGTTCCATGTTGAGAAACCCTGAAAAATAATCAACTATATTCGATTTAAAAAAAAACCCATCAAAAAGAATGTCAAGCCATTGTAACGTCAAACGGGTTCACTTGCCTCCTCCAACAATTGCTCCTTTTCTTCCACTTCTTCAGCAGTTAAGGGATCTCCAACTTCTGAGAAAGTAAATTCTTAATCAGTAATAGGTTCAGTGGAGGAATGTAAGAAAAAAGGGAACAGACTGAGAAACCAAGCTTGACCTTCAGGTTCATCAACTTCAACTGTGTCTTTTATCTGAGTTTTCTGATGTGTTTTCTGAAACCAAAGTGAAAGAAGTTGCTATTACCCTAAAACGCCTTAAAACTAATCAGAGACAAAAAATGCATAAGTTACTTCATTAAATTTAACTCAAATAAAAACCCTACCATAAGGTGTCGCACTTCCTTCTCAAACAGCTCGGTCAATCTCTGATTGTTGAAGAACTGGAAATCATGCCTGCGGGAAGGAAAAGAAAATTTGATATAAGGGATAAAAATAGTATCCAGGAAAAATGCTAAATGTAGAGTAGAGACAATCGAGGTACTTACAACTGCGGCATGCGTGGAATTCTAGGCTCCTTGGGTTTAGCTGGAGCACCTTGACGCAATGTTTGCTTGAAGTATTCAGTTTCAGAGTAGCTGAAGGTTGGAAGTTAGGTAGATAAAAGTAAATTTGAGGTTAGAATGTTGTTTAACAAGACAGAATAGACCACGTGACAAAAAAAAGTAGAAGTAAGAAAGATTTACTTGCGCTTTCTCTCTCTTTTTGGTGGATCATTCCAATTCTCACTCACAATCTTCTTAAAATCGAACTTGTTCTCATCCTACCAAACAATAATAGAAAAGACTTCAGTAAGAAAAATTATTTAAAACAGTGCAGAGCGTAAGCACAGTATGGGTTGAACAATTCCTTAAATCGTGCAATTAATAGTACCTTACTGTCATCGTCAAAATCATAAAAGTCAGCACCTGCAACAAACCGGAAATTAGATTATTCAGATCTCCCATTACTAATGCAAGGGAGTTACCATCAAAAACAAGAAAAAGGGATACATGAGACGCTTACTGTCATCCATTTTAAACTGTATAGCATCTTCAGTAAATTTCTTCATCTTCGCATCAAGTTCAGCCGTTGCCTCTTCTCCTCTGGCAATAATTCTGTCAACATCCTCATCCGTAATTGTGCTATCTTTAGAACTAAACACCAGTTCAGCACCATATCTCACCATTTGGAGTAATTCATCCTTATTAACAGCTGAAAAGTAAAGAAAAGAAACAAAAATATAAGAGACGATAGAAATCTATAAGAGAGAAACCAATGCAATTTACAACCTCAGTACACGAACACTTACTTTTCTGTTCTGCCAATCTCCCTTGCTGAATTACGAGAGCATCAAGTGCCAACTTCTTGTAGGCTCTCTCAATCACTTTTGCCTCAATTGCATTCTGTAAATGACCAATCAGAGTTAGTTTTAGGTTCTCAATGTTTTTATTACTTAATACACATGGGTAGAAGATTAACCTCGGTGCAGAAACGGAATACTTGGACTTCTTTCTTTTGACCAATCCTATGTGCACGATCTTGAGCTTGCAAGTCAACTTGGGGATTCCTGCCAGACTCCACCCATCTCACTAAGCATGAAGAATTAAGCATGAAGAAAATACTCTTTCACTACAATAGACAAGAAAAGAACTTACCAGTCACTGTCATAAAGGATCACAACATCTGCAGTAGCAAGATTGATACCAAGCCCTCCAGCTCTAGTGGATAACAAGAAAACAAATTTCTCACTTCCTGGCTTGTTGTAGGCTTCTATGGAAGCATCTCGGTCGTCGCCACCAGTATTTCCATCAATACGGCAGTACTGGTAACCACGATACATTAAATAATCCTCAAGAATATCCAAAAGCCTTGTCATCTGAAATAGATGAGCAGCATAATCATTAGAATTAGCACAAACATGAAGAACAGCACTCAGACAAAAGGATACAAGGAAAAGAACCCTTATTTTCTTGCGTTAGCGGTTAGCGATTACCTGGGAAAATATCAGAACCCTTGAATCGCGTTCCTTCAACTTAGGCAGCAATTTATCTAAGAGAACCATCTTACCTAGAAACAAGACACGTAACATAAATAACTAAGACACATGGCAACGGATATCTGCAGGATTTAAATTGAAGGAAAGTTTTACCTGCATTAGTTACAAGGTGATCTCCTGTGGTATAGGGGGGACCGGGCTCTGCACCCTGGAAGAGATAAGGGTGGTTGCAGCATTTGCGCAATTGCATTGCTATGTTCAACAGACGTTTACGTTCTCCACCACCATTAATCACTTCAAGATCCTTCTGCAGTAACGCCTTGTAGTACTGTTTTTGCATCTGAGACATGCCAACTTTGAGTATCGTCTCCTTTTTTGGAGGTAAACCTTTCTCTACATCCGATTTTAACCTCCGAAGAAGAAATGGTCGGAGAACCTAACAAGAATAGAAAGAGGCAAGCGATTTAGCATAACATCAAAGAGAATAAACTTGATAACCCCGACCATAACCCCGACAACATACCTTATGAAGCTGTTGAACAACTTCTTGCTGGTCATTTTCACCAGAAATTTGAAACCACTCGTCAAAAGTCTCTGCTGAACTAAAAACCTCAGGCAGAAGGAAATTGAGAAGAGCCCACAACTCATGGAGATTATTCTGTATGTAAGAAACAAATATGAGATATATCAACAGTATTATCTGTAACAAACCAAGTACAAAAAATAAAAGCATATACAAAAATGTATAATCAAAACGACTATGTTCAAACAGACTCATGAAAAACTAGTTTCAACATACAGACAGAAAAAAAAATACTGCTCTAGATCATGAGACTAGAAAAATACCTGAAGTGGGGTTCCCGTAATAAGAAGCCGATAATTGGTGCTAAAAAGTCTCATGGTTTTTGAAAGGAGTGAATTCTCATTCTTGATTCGATGTGCTTCATCAATGATTATGTAACGCCAGCTAAAGCGACGCAAGCACGTCTTCTCTTTAATAGCCATCTCAAAGCTTGTAACACAAACGTCGAATTTCCCCGCAACTAGCAGTTCTTCACGAATATGTCTCTGCATTATGTATCATATACCTCAGAATCCCGGTGGACACACATAGATACGACTATTAAAATGGTAGAGCATTTGTGACTTACCCTTTCCTCAGGATTTCCAAGGAATTTCACAGCACGCAGGACAGGACAAAATCGGCGAATTTCGTTCATCCAGTTACCAAGGGTTGATTTAGGAGCAACTACCATATGAGGGCCACTAATTCCCTTGTATTCATGCAGGTAAGCCAACAAAGAAATTGTTTGAAGTGTCTTCCCCAGGCCCTAGATCATGGAACAAAAAATGATGTAAAGATTAGCATCAGATAAAATAGAGAAATGAAAAACTTTAGTCTATGCTTGGACAAGAAGTGATTTACCATTTCATCTGCAAGAATCCCATTTATGCCATTCTCATACAACCGAATGAGCCAGTTTAAACCAGCTAATTGGTAATCTCTCATTTTCCCCTGAATACCTGTAACATGAATAGTACGAAGATCAGATCTCTGAAATTCTACAGAATTTTGCAGTCACCGAGAAATTGTCATGTCACAACTGAAGTAATACGTAAAACATGCATCAGAGAAGTGAACGTAAGGTGACAATTCAAATCCGACCATAACTTATGGTCAGTGACAACAGTAATACTTGCGCAATTATGCACCAGTTCCAGACAAAAGAAGCAAAATATAGATACTTACACGCGGGCTGTGTGAGCAATCGTGTGCTTCCGGATCCAGGTACACCACCCTCTTCTTCCTTTAAACATTCTTCATCTTCCTCTTCTTCAGTTAGTTTGGAAGCATGACGACCCCTGAAGATAAAGTGAAACCCAATAAATTAAGCCATTGGACAGTGTGCTTAATCATATTTCATGAAACTTAAAATGGATGACCACAATTTATTATGAGATCATTAACATTCAACACACCTTCCTTTCCCCTTCTTCTGAGACGTAGATGGGTCACTTTTAGCAAAATGTGAAAATAACTCAGTTTGCTGCAGAAGATACGTCAATCTCCCCTTTCCTTTATTGTTCTAAACACATAATAGATTGAGACTTTTTCAATGCCTCTGGATGTAAAGGACAAACAGCTCAAAATCCTTAAAAATTTGTTTACTAGCTTACCATATCTGCATCTATGGAAGCATTTTGGGCGTCTAAAATTTCCTGAATTTTCTGCTTCTTCATCCTCTGCATTTCTTTAAGTCTGGCCTTCTCACGTTTGCTAATTTCAGCTTTTGCCTCGTCCACTTCGTCCTGCACAATATCACCAAATCATGTGAAAAAGTGAACAAATATCCACACGAGTCACATGGAGTTACCACCATAATGTGCGACCAAGCAGCAATTGTAAGTACTCCTAAAAGCAAAAACCTTCAAACAACAAGAACTGAAAGTACGAAACCATATGACTCGAACTAAACCAGAGAATCTGACCCGCGACGAAACAAACAAAGGACAACACCATAAACACGGGTTGTGGTGCGGAACACAAGACCCAAACACAACATTCATTACACGCTCAGTGGAAACCTTAACCGTGATAAAATAGCTTTCTCAATTCCAAGTACAACAATCCCCAAAATCACAGAGCGGACATGAGAATGCGAATCGAAGAGGGCGAAAAGAAACGGAAGTGCTACCTCGCCGTCGTCGTCGTCATCTTCCGCGGGGACAATCTCGTCGTCAGAGACGGGTGCTTCGTCATTGGAGTCCGCGGAGCGAGCAACGGCCTCGAGCTCCTCGTCATCTTCTTCCACATTGACCTGATCGTTCACTTGCACCTCTTCCTCCTCCGACGAGCCAGCCTCGTCTGAAGAAACCTCCCGCTTCGAAGGTCTCGCCATTGACGCCTCTCTACGATTCCTGATTTCGTCTGAGATCGAGGGTTCTCGAGTTTGCTTTGGTTAGTAAAAAAAAAAAACAAAAGTGAGATTAGAAATCCAGATGAGACAACAAAGAGTCAAAGACCGACGTTTAAAACTTCCGTAGCTTCCGAGTCGATTATGCCCCGTTGATTCGACAGATCAAATCTACGGCTACGATGTGCCACGGGCCCATGAATTCCCGCCACCTGACAAAGAGAGTTTGGGAAATTCCCGCCTTGGACTTCGGTTTATACCGATGGGCCCAGAAAGGTCCATGGGCTCAAAGTTAAACTCAATTTAACTTTTACACGACAGTATGTAACTTCTTCTCTCCTCTCTTTACCCGCCTTATCCATATAACCCGCCGAATCACGCATGTGACACCTCAGCACTCGAAGCTGTGACACGCTACAACTGAATTTCCAATAAAACCCTTAGTTAAGAGCTAACACGCATATCTCTAACGCCTTTGCGTATAAAGGATGAAAGTGGAATTAAATATAAAATAAAATTCGTGTTTCATCGCGGTTTCTTCTTCTTTCACCTTCTTCTCTTTTGCGATTCGCAATCGCAGATAACGCCCCGATATAATATAAGTCGCCGTTCAATTTTCCAGCCTGGGATTATCTCCGATCATCGAACAAAGTTCTCAATATTCTTCGGGTTTTGTTTTGTTCCTGGATTTGGTTTCTTAAATTCTCTTGCGGCTTTTGCCCAAATCTTCGTCAGTTTGAGTTTCTGGAGTCTCTTTATTATTTAAGGTAAAATGTTTTCTTATTTGCTAGTTTGCTTGCTAATATTCTCTGTATAGCTCAATTATTCCCCTTGTTTTAATTTATGAACAGAAGATGATGTGGATGTATTTGTTTATTGCTTTCTTGCAGAATATGGGACAAAAGAGATGGCTGTGCTTGCTGGCAATTTTTGCTTGTCTTCTTTCCTTTTCATGTGGGAGAGGTAATAATGGAACTTCTCTGATGATTCTGTGCCTGTTTCCTTTCTGTGGTCTTTAATTTTCAATTCTCCCTCTGCATCTTTCTGAGCAATGATAATGCTTAAAAAGTTAAAACTTTTCCTCGGGCTACAACATAACGTGAACTGGAATTTCCATTGGACTAGTGGTGATTCATTAAGGGCTGATTACATGTTCGTTCGTGAGTTTTTTTTCTTTTCCCGTAAGTGGAACAAATCAATCCACAATCCATTTAGCATCATATTCATAAGGAACCTTGAAGATTATGATACTAACAATTAATGTACTTGGTATATGAGTTTGTCAAGCTACAAATGAGTTAAGACTGAACCAAGTGAATTTATGGTGACTTTTTCTTCTAATTGCAGTTCTCAAGCTGAAGGGCGATGATGTTCGACCTGTTTACAACCATACGCTTGCCATAACACTTGTGGAGTATGCTTCTGCGGTAAGTCAACCGTAGATACTAGACTAATCAAAATGGCCTGTGACCAATTTTCCCCTTGACGTCATAGTCAATGCATTATAGTATCTCTAATATTCTCCAAGAAAAGAAGGAACAAAATGCGTAACACTTGTCTTCATGTTTTTCATTATTGTTAGCAGCACTGATTGTAACACTAGTAAACAAGAGAGATTTTGTTAAATAAACTGCACCAGATGGATGAATCAAGTTTATATATGTATATGCAGGTCTATATGTCTGATTTGACAGAACTCTTCAATTGGACGTGTGAAAGATGCAATGGGTTGACAAAGGTATAACACATGTTTAGGCAAATCATTGTTTGTTTGAAGCCACAGTCTGTAAAAAGCTAATAGCTTCAATTGGGAATTTTTTTTAACGTTCTTGAGGATGGTGCAGGGTTTCGAAGTACTAGAGATCATATTTGACGTTGAGCACTGCCTACAGGTCTGCCCTGATATCATAAGCTACATCTGGACATAATGTCTTTCGGTGAACACTTATTAATATCAGTACGTGTTACTTGTTACAATAGGCATATGTTGGGGTGGCAAAGAATTTGAATGCCATCATTATTGCATTTCGAGGAACTCAAGAACACAGGTATGACTCTCGTCATTGTAATCTAAAAAAGCTATACCTTTGCCTAAACTTGGTTGATGCTTGATCAACTCAAAACTCGCGCAGCATACAAAATTGGGTCTCAGACTTGTTCTGGAAACAACTCGATCTAAATTACCCTGATATGCCAGATGCAATGGTAAGCTTTAACGGCGAGTCTTTGTGAATGAGTATATTACGTAAAATGGTGGAACTTGTAATAATTTGTCCTACATTGGCAGGTTCACCATGGCTTTTATAGTGCTTATCACAATACAACTGTACGGCCTGCGGTTCTGAGTGCAGTACAACGAGCGAAGATATCCTATGGGGCGAACATCAACATCATTGTAACTGGTCATTCAATGGGAGGAGCCATGGCTACCTTTTGTGGGCTAGACCTAGTTGTAAACATACGTGACATTAACTAATCTTGTTATATCTTAATGGTATGCCCTTTGAAGTTGTTAATTGGCTTCGATTTGGATGTAAATCTCAGGTTAATGAAGGAGAAGAAAATGTACAGGTTATGACATTTGGGCAACCTCGTGTTGGGAATGCCGATTTCGCATCTTATTACAGTCTGCTTGTGCCTAACACCTTCCGGATCACCCATGAACATGATATGGTTCCTCATTTGCCTCCTTACTATTTTCATTTCCCTCAAAAAACTTACCACCACTTCCCAACAGAGGTAACGTCGCTTTCTCAGTGCATTGGATGTTCATTAGAATAACAGTTTTAATGTTAAGCTATTTTATGCAAAAATCTGGACTACTGCGATGAAAGAAATAGGTAATGGTCTGTTTTGTTTCGCAGGTGTGGGTGAGAGATCTCAGTTTTTCGAATCTTGTTCTTCTTAGTATGGAGCAAGTTTGCGACAACACTGGTGAAGATCCTACGTGTAGCAGGTAACTATCAATCCCTCAAAGAGAAACTTGGGATTACTATTTTACTACCACATATCACCCGATGGATGAAATATTGATCAAGAATCTTTACAACATGGCTTGTGTTTCATGTTTTAGCTCAGTTACACAAATACAGTATAATTCTTGGTTCTTGTTGTATCAGGTCGGTGGTGGGAAATAGCATTTCTGACCATTTAAGGTACTTTGGGGTAGACCTCAAGTGTGAGAGTTGGAGACAATGCACAATAGTGATGAGCAATGACCATGAGATGGAAAGATTCAGCAAGAAAGATTCAAAGGGTAACTTATTATTGTCGCGCACAGTTCCTTCCACGGACATAAACGGAACAAAAACAATGTAGGAGACGGTTGGTTCGAGTCTCAAACAAGAAAAAGCTTGCTTGATGAAGAGATTCAAACAATTGATTCTTTGGTGGTGGGGAAATAAAGTGTACATATATAACACAAGACTTTGTAAATATAATTGGTAGCATGTAGGCAGCAAACAAAATCTGTTGTTAATTAAATCCATGACTCACTTTTATATTGGATTCAACACCATGTAAAGTAATTGGATAATGACTAATATGATTGTGATTTAACTCTATGGTAGCGGAAGTTTGGAGATATTAGACGCAAATGCAAAACTTGCAAACCCTCTGAATAGTAAAGAGTCTTTAGCAGAGTCTGGAAACTCCGTCGCTACGCAACCGCATCTTTCATCGAAATTCTATACATCACTTAGTTCCGATTATACCCTTAGTTAGAGCAAACACGTGTCCCTCCTTCGCGTTTGCGTATTAAGGATGAAACTGGATATACACAAAAAAATAAAGAGGATATTCGTATTTCATCGCGGTTTCTTCTTACACCTATACTCTTTCGCGATTCGCAATCGCAGTTATTTTTGAACCAATCGGCGATCATCTCCGTAAATTCTCATTCGTGCGTTCATCGTCAAGGATTTGGTTCGCTTGCTTTGATCCTCAGATTTGTGTTATTCTTCCTTCTTCTGGCCTTAATTGGTTGCTGAAATCTATTTGGGGGATTTTGCTCTAATCCTCGTTAGTGCTCATTTTTAGCTCAATTTTGCCAATGTTTTTTGGTGGATGAACAGAAATGATGTGGTTGAGTTTATTGTCTTGTTGCAGAATATGGGACAAAAGAGATGCTTCTTCTTGCTGTCAGTTTTTGCTTGTCTTCTTTTCCTCTCACATGGAAGAGGTACTAATGCAACTTGTGTGTCTGTTTCCTTTCTTTACACTTTAATTTTCAATTTCTCGCTATTGAGTCTCTGTGAGCCTAATCAAGATAATAATTAGCTTTGGGATTATATACAGTTTACTTTCTCTAGTGGCTACTGTAAGATTTAGATCTGGATTCTCACTCTTCAAGACAGAAACCTTTTGAACTTATGCTGAGCTTCTCTCTCCCTAATTGCAGTTCTCAATATGAAGAGAGATGATGGTCGACCTGTGTACAACCATACACTTGCCTTAACACTTGTGGAGTATACTTCTGCGGTAAGTTAAATGTCAAATTACTGCAGTGTAATTATTATGCTGATAAAGTACACCTGATTGATCAATCACAAGTTTACAAATGTCTGCAGGTCTATATGTCGGATTTGACAGAACTCTTCACTTGGACTTGCGAAAGATGCAATGGTTTGACAAAGGTATAAACATGGCAGGTCACTGTTTGAAGCCACGTTATGTATAAAAGCTAGTAGCTCCACTTGGGTATTCTAACGTTCTCTGGGATGGTGCAGGGCTTTCAAGTGATAGAGATAATAGTTGACATTCAGCACTGCCTACAGGTCTGCCATGGTTTTCTTAATCTATGTTAAGGTCATGATGTTCTTTCATTGATTAGTTATTTGATTATTCATTTCATTCAACAGGGATATGTTGGGGTGGCGAAGGATTTGAATGCTATTGTTATTGCATTCCGGGGAACTCAAGAACACAGGTATTATTCTCGTCATTGTGTATCCAATAAGCTAAACCTTTGCCTAAACTTGGTTGATGCTTAATCAACCCGACACCTTGCGCAGCATACAGAATTGGGTCTCGGACTTGTTTTGGAAACAGCTCGACCTAAACTACCCTGATATGCCCGATGCAATGGTATGGTTTGATGGCAAGTCTTTGTGATTGAGTTGATTACGTAAAAAGGTGAATTTTTTTGTAAAAGTTTGCTCTACATTGGCAGGTGCACCATGGCTTTTATAGTGCTTATCACAATACAACTGTACGGCCTGCGGTTCTGGGTGCAGTAAGACGAGCGAAGGAATACTATGGGGCGAACATCAACATCATGGTGACTGGTCATTCAATGGGAGGAGCCATGGCTGCCTTTTGTGGGCTAGACCTAGTTGTATGTAATCATACTTGACTTGGACTAACTTTGTTATGTCCTTTGAAGTTGTTAAATGACTTGGATTTGGAATGTAAATCGCAGGTAAATGAAGGAGAAGAAAACGTACAGGTTATGACATTTGGGCAACCTCGTGTTGGGAATGCCGCTTTTGCATCTTATTACAGTTTGCTTGTGCCTAATACCTTCCGGATCACGCATGACCGAGATATAGTTCCTCACCTGCCTCCTTACTTTTATCTTTTCCCTCAGAAAACATACCACCACTTCCCAACAGAGGTAACGTTTTTTTTTTTTTTTTTATATATAATTCTTCAGCAGCCTCCTCCGATACATTTGATGTTCATCAGAGTAACAGTTTTGAGATTTTTATGCAACATTTAGTAATGGTGTGTTTCGGTTGCAGGTGTGGGTGAGAGATCTCAGTGTTTTGAAGCTTGTTCATTTTGGTGTGGAGAAAGTTTGTGACAAAACCGGTGAAGATCCTACATGCTGCAGGTAACTAACTCTTTCTTGGGTTTCTATTCGATCCCTCGGGCAAAAAATTTCCACCTGAGCAAGGATGTGGCTTAGGTTTCATGTTTTCACTTGGGTACAGGACAGTTTTGACATGAATCCAGTATAATTGTTGGATTTTGTTGTTTCAGATCGGTGATGGGAAGCAGCATATCAGACCATTTATGGTACTTTGGGGTGGAGATGATGTGTGAGACTTGGAGACAGTGCAGCATAGTGATGAGCCCAGAGATTGAGAGTTACAGCAGGAAAGATTCAAAGGGTAACGTATTCCTGTCGCGGACAATTCCTTCCACGAAGGTGATTGAAACGAAAACTCTATCCAAAACCGGAGTCTCTAGTCTATAGGAGCTGGTTGGTTCGAGTGTGGAACGAGAATGCTTGCTTGAAATGGAGAGGTTGGGAGTTTCAGACTTTCAGGCGTGGAGGAGGAAGAAGGGTTCTTTGATTCTTTGTGATCGTGAATGAAAGAAAGTGTACAGATAAGAAACAAGGCTTTGTAAATAGGTTGATAGTATGTGGCAAAAAGAAAACACCAAGTTAAATCTTTATTAATGTAAATCCATGATCACACAACTATGTAAATATGTGAATGAATATTCAATTCGTATGGATGATGAATTTCTGTATTATATAATATTCTGTCCACATCTCCTTAGTTTCTACCACTTTGAGATAACTTATCGTGTGGATAACTTATTGTTCGAGCTTCAAATAGATGAATGTTTTTCTTATCCACATCCTTTGGCTTATTCACGTACTGACCGAGATGGGTTGTTAAACGGTAAACGGTAAAGTAGCAACTAGCAGAATAGATTTGATATTTATACTTTTTTATCAATCATGATTTATATTTAGTCACTCGAGCATTTTGGTTTATTTTTTCGTTGTTGCGCAGAGCTATTGGTTTCGATTTTTCATTTTAGATATGACAGAAATTAAAAACTCGAGCATTTTGACACTCGTTTTTCATTAACGTGTGTTGGATTGGCCTATAAATGAATAAAATTATGACAGCAACCAAAAGGATTAGGGACCAAACCATAATGAGTTTATTAAACGATGCAAAGTGTCAACACCAACGTTAATTAACTCGACGAAAGTGCACCAACCGCTCCTAATTAATGTAGTGGAAATTTAGTTTCGAGACTTGGAGTAATAATTACTATGACCGTTTCTATTGACTTGAAACAAATGTGGCTTTTTTATTCACTTACATAACCTTTTTATTTATTCACGTTTTAGTTTTTTTTTTTTACACGAAAGCTCACTATTTGGTTATATATATTAGTATTTTATATTATGTGTTTGTCATATAGTATTAGCTTCATTTATAGAAGCATTTTCCAAGATTATCTTGAAAGTATTAAAAGGGATGGAGATCCGAATGTAAGTGGCCTCCTGCATGTACACGAAACGAATACTTCTGTAGTCTTTGACTAACATTCTCCACATTCCACGCTATTGCTTAATTTATTTTTCTTTTTTAAGTACCCATGATTTTTTTTTTAAAGAAATACCCATGAATTTTAAATTAATTGTTTTGTAATGTTTAACTAGTCACTAACTCTACTTTCAGTAATACGAGTCTAACTAATTAAAGTTTTAGACAAGAATACAAATTAATATAAACAAAACCAAAATATAATTACAATTCTGCAATTTTTAAATGAATACATGGCCATAAAATAATTAAACGAGTTTTATTTCTGTCTTTTTACTGGTCAAAACAAGTTGAGATGAAATTTATTCTTGACCTACATATTTCCCATTCCCTTTCTTTGTTTTCTTTCCCATATGTTTTGCAGCCTACTATTAGATAACGCATTTATATATGTTTTTTTCTTGAAACTAAATTTGTGTTTAATATCTCTAAATTTTATTTTCAGTTTTAATTATAAAATATGAAGGTGGATAGGTTCTTGGTACCATCACGTGGTCCAGTGGCTTGGTGGGGGCAATGTAACTGACTCAAGCAACGAACACTTGACCTTTTTATTATTTCAGACAGGAATCAGGATGCAACTCTCACATTGATACCATTGTCTCAAGAAAATGGCCATCCATATATTTTGTATTCAACTGTTCACCAATACATACTTAACAAAAATATAATAAACAAATAAATAAAAAATATCATCTTATATTTTGGTAGTAATAAACAATAAATCTAAACTTTGATATGTGATATTTAGTTATAGTTTCGGTAATTGTAGTTTCTTCACTTTCTTACCTACATTCTTTACATGTTGATATAAGATGTTAACACTATTAGACTTTATCAATTTCATATCTTGTATAATTATTTGATGGTTTCAAAATAAAAAAAAAATCATCCACGTCTAACACGAACAAACATCTAGTACATATATATTAAATAATAAATCACATTTTGTCGCAAATAATAACTCACTTGAATTATTGATAGATGTGAACTGAAATAATAATATACATATTCCTTTCGTTTCATAAAATGTCAATCGTTTGCAACACCTCTAATTTACCATTACTCTATTAACTAAAGATTAGTTGCCTTATTTATTTTAATGGATTTGACTAATATGTATGGCTAACAATACAAAGTTAGCTATAAAAATACAAAACATCTTCATTTTGTTTGAAAAAAAACGTTATTTTTTAAATCATCTATTTTGTTGTCGGACATCTATTATTAAGCAACAAAGTAATATGTTAATTATGGTGTATTTGTCCCTTTTTAAGTTTTTATAATAGTATACATGTTCGAGAAAGCTCTATTTGAGTAAATTGAAAATGAAATAAGGGGAGTAAGAAATTACTAACTTTAGTCGTCCAAAAACTCCAATTGGCAAACAAATAGGTCATTTATTATCTTTTTGCTAATATTACAGTTTACAAGAACAAAAAGAAAATATATTTTTATAAGGAAGGTAATGGGAAATAAATAGAAATCGTCTGCTAGATAACGATCTAGAAATGTGATTGGCTAATAAATCGGCGCTCTCTGATACGGTTGTATCCATGTCATCCCATCTCCCTCCACCTTCTTCACCTTATCTCTCTCTCCCTTAAATTATTCCGTTTTTTTAAAGCTACAAATCTCACGATCTCCCAGGCTAACAACATTCACAAGGCGAGAGATAGATAATAAAGCAATAAAGATCCAACCTTTTTTTCTTTCTCTCTTCATTTCTGCAAATAGGAAGATTGAAGAATTTTGTGTTTATCTTCTTCTATAAAAACAAGGCGTGGGGTCTCTTTTCATTTCTGGCCTTGTGATTCCGATAAATCTATCGGCTTCAAAGCCCATTCAACCCAATCCAAATCCACATTATATTCATATAACTATATATATATATATATACACAGAGAGAGAGAGTTACCTTTTCCAATCTCTATCTCTCTCCTTCCCTCTCTCTCTCTATCGGCTTTTCTCCTCCTGTTCTCATGGAAGCTTCACCCAATGATCGCCTTCATTTTGGCAAAATGGGCTTCGGGTACAAAATAATCCTCTGTTTCTTTCTGTCTTTTCATCTGTTAGTGTCTGCTTTTATCAGATCAGTGTTTCCTTGTTTGTGTCTTTGTGGGTCGTGTCTCGTTTTCAAGTTCATGGTCCACGAAGATTCGTCTCTCTTCTTCTTCTGGGTGATCCGTAGATTCCAGTAATTTTAAGCTCTGTTTCACAAAGTTTCCTACTTTTTTCAAATCTGGTTCGTGGGGTTTTATCAGTTTCCATTTTTTGAACCCAATCGATTCGTATGTTTGCTCGAAACCATAGATCTGTCTCGATCCACGAAATTTGATAAATCCATATATCCATTAAACCGTATCTGATCCATATAGATCGTTTCTCTACAATCTGTGTTAGGTGTCAGCATTACAGGAGGAGATGCCAAATTAGAGCTCCATGTTGCAACGAAGTCTTCGCTTGTCGCCATTGTCACAACGAGAGCACTGTATATTCTCAATTCTCACCTTAATTACAGTCTTTATTTACTTTTCCTGTTATGTCCCAAACTTTAAACATTCCTTATTTAAATTTTATGTGTGTTACAGAGCACATTGCGCAATATCTATGACCGTCACGACCTTGTTCGTCAAGACGTTAAACAAGTACGATCACATCCTCCTATAGATCAATATATGTTTGGTCTTAGCATTTGGTTCCTAAGTTGTTGCATCTTATGGCGCTTTTTTCACATTTCAGGTGATTTGTTTTGTTTGCGATACAGAGCAGCCGGTAATTTTCATCTCTATATAATTTGAATTGCATTGAAACTTGTGTTATGAGTTATTGGTGATCACTCGCATATCAGTACTTTCGATGTTTTAGCTGGCGTGTGAAATTGTTTTTTTTTCAATGTGTTTTTTAGGCAGCTCAAGTTTGCACCAACTGTGGTGTCAACATGGGAGAATATTTCTGCAATATCTGCAAATTCTATGATGATAATGTAAAGAAATTTGATTTTTGCATCTGCTTGAATCTCTTCCTTCTCGGTATTTGATTCTGATCATTGCTCCTATATGTCCTGTTTCAGACTGAAAAACAACAATTCCATTGTGATGACTGTGGCATTTGCAGGTGGGAATATTTCTCCATACGTTGTAATAGTTTATGAATCTTTTAATGGTGATTCGATCGAAGTTGTGTGCTGATTTGTGTTTCTCGCCATTTCATTTTGTGTTGCAGAGTTGGTGGGCGTGAGAACTTCTTCCACTGCAAGAAGTGTGGTAAACTATTAAAAAAACAAACTTAATTCATCTTCAGTTTCAGACAAACACAATCAAGTGTTGTTGAGTCATAAAAGTTTATCCCTCTCTTGGTTTTAGGATCTTGTTACGCGACTGGTCTGCGCAACAATCATCGCTGCGTTGAGGATTCAATGCGACATCACTGTCCCATTTGTTACGAGGTATGTGTGTTTATGCTTCAACTTTTTTCTTTCTTGCGAAAAATTCACAGCTGCTTTTATCAAATTGTGTGTGAGTGAGATACTTTGTTGCTGCAGTATCTCTTTGACTCTCTTAAAGACACAACAGTGATGAAATGCGGACACACGATGCACTGTGAATGCTACCACGAGATGCTCAAGCGCGACAAGTAATTTACTCTTTTCTTGTAGTTTATTAATTTGTCTCTCTGTTTAAACCATAAATTTGGGTTTTCTGTGATGGTATTTGAATGTGTGAGTTTTGTTTGCGTAGATTCTGTTGTCCGATTTGCTCGAGGTCAGTGATTGATATGTCAAAAACATGGCAGAGAATGGATGAAGAGGTTAATATCCATTGTTGGATCTTTTAAGTATTTAGTTAAACTTCCCGCGCAGATCAGTAACTAATAAAATATTAAATTCTTTCATTGGTTCTCTTAGATCGAAGCCACTTCCATGCCTTCAGATTACCGCGACAAGAAGGTACATAAGTTTTTGTCTCTTTAAATGTCTTAAGCTCCATCAGAAACGGGAGTGTTGCAGACGGAAAGTAGGAATCTTTTCACGGAATTGACATTTAAGGTTTCTGCGGAATTCACAGGTTTGGATACTATGCAACGACTGTAACGACACAACGGAAGTGTACTTCCACATAATCGGACAGAAATGTGGACATTGCAGATCTTACAACACGAGAGCTATTGCACCTCCTGTTCTTCCTCAATGACAAACCCCAAGATCTT